GGGCTGTCCTTGGGAGTTTCTTAAGTGAGGTCTGAGGATAAAGTGGCCACCGATTTATAAGTGACAACATTATTGTTCTATCATTCCCCCATTTTTTCTTTAATAACGATGAGGGTAGAGGCTGAGGATCGGGAATTGGGGTGAAGCATTGGCCTCTTAGGTGCTTCCTGCTGGCAGAGGGCACTGTATGGGGCAAGAGACTCAGACTCCTGTGGCATCCTGGTAGGGACCCTCACAGCAGTCCTCCAGATGGTTTTAGAGAGGTTGATATCCCTGGAGGTACAACTGGTTAAACTTTTGATTAGCAATAGCAGACATGTGTTCTAAAAGAAATCTTTCTACTGTTTTTATGATACAAGGGAGGAAGCTTAAGACTATGAGAGCAAGAAATATAGGCGTTAGGATGGCCATTAGCCAGGAGAACCACTGTGAAATGTTATTCCCTAGAGGATTCTAAGAGTCTGTTCCTTAAGAGGTGCTACCACTGGGGGATCCCATTGAGCTTGACAGCAGTGGGTGTTGTGAGAATGACCAGATGAGAGCTGGTCCACTGAAGTCCCAATGGAGAGGGTAGAAGATCCTTTAAGAGAACAAGATCCCCTGGTTTTACAGAAATTGTTATAGGATGGGAGAGGATCTGGTCTGCATGCTCTCTGAAAAGTTCCCAGAGAAGGTTAAGATAAGGTAGGTAGTCAGCCAGAGGAGCAGGGTGTGTTGGAGGCAAGTTTATTAGAAGGAGCATAAAAGGTGTCTGCTAAAGGACTACATATCTAGGGATACAGATTCTGCAAAATCCTGTAACTCCCAAGAAAGCTCTAAGCTGCCTTATGGTATGGGGGAGAGGGAAACGGAAGATTGGGTTGATGCACTCATGACTCAGGGAGTGAATCTGTCCCTTTAAGGCCACACCTAGGTAGGTGACCTGTGGAAGGCAGGGGCTGTCAGGATTTAGGTTAAGTGTAACACTCTTGGATAGAAGAGAGCTCTGGCTCATTTTTTATATAACTTTGTAAATGTTTGTGCCATATTTAGATAAAGTATAGACACAACACTGTTACAAGGTGGTCATTTAAGACACATAAGCAAATATGTAAATGAACTCTCATTTAGTAGTACTTAAAGCTTGACAAGATCAATAGAAAACACAAGTAATTTCTTTGATAAAAATCTTTCTCTGTAACTTTTTTTTGTACATGTTACTCAGAGCAGAACAATATTAAGATAACCTTGTTATTTTATAGACATAGAGAATTTGATTTTAGTTTGACCTGACCCTAAAAATCTTTTAGGCAACTCTTAGATTATAGTCAACTTTAACTATATCACACTCCGAAGCTTTTTATTATACACTTTTAAAACTTACTCAGACCTTTATATAACATACTAAACCCTTTGATAGCTTGTCCTTATCCCTCCTATTTGAAACAATCTGTAGGACAAACCCTTCTTTAAAAAATCCTTTCTCATCCAAAAAAACCATTCCTTTTTCCTTTAACTTCTCAAAAAATACATTCATTACCTATCTATACCCTTTCCAGTTGTTTACTTTGTAACTTGTATTTTAAAATTAACTTTTATAAGAATTTTAAATTTATTATAGGGGCTGAAGCAACTAATTAGTAGCCCTTGGTGTTCTAAGGAATTTATCATGGGCATAAGGCCTCATCCTCCCTCAGGCTTGAGGGGATATTGTTTTGGGTGTGGAAACTGTGAGGGATTTTTGAGTTTTATTTGAATAGGGAGGGCTGTCCTGGCTCACCCTACACTCATCTCATCAGTCCACACTGTGGGATCTATTTGTTCCTAAAGGAGGGGGCAGAAGAGATAGCTGCCTGGGGGGAGGAGAATTTGAGCTTTTAGTTGAGAAGTAAATCCCATCCGAGCAGAGTCACTGGAGTTTCAGAAACTATGAGGAAAGGGTGACAGAAGAGGAGGTCTCCCCAAGAGCAGGCCAGAGGCTGGGTAAATTAGCACCCTAGGGGCTGGCCACATTTGCCCCAAATGATAACCTTGTCATTGGACCAGGGACCGAGAGAGAAAGGTAAGACAGAGAAACGAGCTCCACTGTCTAGCCAGAAAATAATCTTTTGTTTTTCTGCCATAATGGCTACCATGAGGCTCCTCAACATCGATGCCAAGAAATGGAGTGTGGACAGGAGGCCGGGAACCATCAATCCATAGGAGGTGGGACCTCACCTTCCATCTGGAGGTGGGGGCACTTAGACCTCCAGTGGCTACCTTTGCAGAGAGGGCAGGGTCCTGATTGGAGGTGGGGCTGTCTCCTGGGCTGTCCCCCCTTCTGAGCATCCTCTGCAGAAGTGCCCCTCCTGTCCACCATGGTAGCAAGTTCAGGATGCAGGCCCCAGTCGGGTGGGGCCCTCTCTGAGAGCAGCAATGAGGCCATGGTGTCTCTTATCTTTCTCTCTGTTGGTAATGTCCAACAGACATGGCTAGTTGTATTAGTTGATCCAGTGACTTTTCTCCTTCAGCCACAGACTGAGTTTTCTACAAATATCTGGGGCTGACTGTTAGAAATTTATCTTTGAGGAGAACATCTCTCACCTGTGATTCTGGGTCCATGATGGTATGCTTTCTGATAGCATCTGTAAGATGCCACAGAAAGGTAAGGGGGTTTTCTTGAGGGCATTGCTGTAAAGCAAAGTTGTTATTTCACATTGACACCTGATACTCTGGAGAGCAGGTCTCTGAACTGTTCTGGGCCTCAGTTTCCTCACTTGAAGAATGAGGGATCTGGTCTAGGTTAAACTACTTTCTTCCACTATGAGATGGCTGAAGTGACATTAATGCCACTTATCTTCCTTACCATTTTTTTTTTTAAGCAATGGTGGGGAATTGAACCCAGGGCCTTGTCCATACTGGGCAGATACTCTCCCACTGAGCTATGCCTTTATCCCCAAATATTTTTTTTTCCTCTTTCCTTTGGCTGTACTGGGGCTTGAACCCAGGACTTTGTGACTGCAAAGCGGCACTCTACTGCTTGAGCCATATCACCAGCCCCTTTTGATGTGGATGTGTCAAGGGGACTGCCTGTGTCCCTGTAGGTAGGCACATTTATTCCCTTATTTCCAGGTGCCACTAGTATTGGGGCTCATTGTGAATGGTAGTCATTTCCAACCTGAGTGGCCTGGGCCAGAACCCATTGCTTTTCTAATGAGGAAAGAGTCTGGTCTAATAGAAGCATAATATCCTTTCATGTCAATTGAAAGGTTTGAATTACAGAGATAAAGGCTTGAATATATTTGTCTGGGCATCAGTATAGCTGTCCAGATGTTTTTTAATTTCCCTTAGATCTGATAGCTGGAAAGGGACATAAACTCGCCCTCTTTCTACCATTACCTATTGAAGGGGGAAGCACCCATTAGGAGGTTCTGAATATTAGGGTGACTTAGAAGGTAGGGCAGAGGGTGGAGCAGTAGGGGTGGGTCTTGTCATTGATAAGGGGCTTTTTTGGTTCTCCTTTCCACGTTTATCCTGTGGCTTACAAAGAAGGGCCAGCGTTTGAGTATCAAAATAGCAATCTTGGAGCCAATCTGAGATGAAAGAAAATTTGTATAGGGGACCTCAGTTTACTTTTTTCCCTTTTATAGAAAAGGTCTAATTGGAGTATGGTATTGTAATTTAAGGAACTCTGTGAAGGCCACTTTTCTTAGTCACTCAAGGTATACTGAGGCCAGGCCTTAGTACAAAGCTTCCAACATCTACAAGCCAGAAGAGCAGGTCCCATCTAGAAAGAACAAGACATTAGGATCCTGTCTTTTAGTTAACAGCAGGCAGCCTCTTTAATAAAGGCTACTTTTTAAACAAAAGAATAAATCATCTGTAAAGTTAGAGAAGGGCATTTAGAGGACATCCCAGGCCAATAACAGTACCATACTGTCCATTTTGAGATTTCTGGGACAATAACCTTGAGCTAACAATTGGTTTACAAGGGCTGGGTCTGGTGCCCCAAGGTGTGAGGTGGGGCTGGGAGCAGGATGTGCGCAAGGCACCGACCCCCTCCACACACACCCTGAACAAGCAAGCCTGACTGCCTAGGCCTGATCCTGAAGCCTGTCACCCCTTCCCCTTCCTGTGTACTCTGCATGCGTTTATTCTAGGGGAAGTGGTGGTGGGCCACAGCCACTGCCATGTGTGGCTGGTGGCCTAGCATGTGTGTTGGGTTGACCTATGGATTCTCTTAGCTATGGCAGGCATTCCCACTGTGCACGAGTGTGCCTATTTGCTTTCCCTCCTCCCCTTGTGGGGGTGGAATTAGGGCATTAGTGTGGCAGCTGCAGTTTTTTGTAAGCACTTTTACCTAGCAGCTGACTTAAAGTTACTTTAGACTGAGAGGCCTGGCAAACTAGTTGGAATAACTTAAATCATAAGGTACCATGCTACAAGTTTTTCATGGGAGGCAGGGTCCCAGTAAGCCCAGGGAGGGGAAGGCAGACAGATACAAAGGACATGTGGTGAGACTATGGAGGAAGCAGAAAAGGTGTCCTGACATCTTAGGTAAGGGAGGGGAAGGCAGAGCCTGGAGGCATGACACACGCCTGAGGGATTAGCCATCACCTGTGCCTCTAGGTTGCTCCCATTCACTGGTACTGGAACACTTTCAGCAACACAAAACCTCCACTCTCTGGTCGCTGTCTCAGGAAAAAGGGGCATTAGGGACGAAAGAGAAGCAGTTGTCAGATGCCATAATCAAACAGGACTCCGCCAATGTAGCATGAGGTGTTCCTGAATAAACCCGGGGCTTGGTCTCAGCCCACAGGGAAGGGAGCATGAGTTCTCCCACAGCTGGAATCACCTTGAGGCCAGAGTTGGCAAGGAGTGGCTTGACACCATGATGGGAAAGTCCCTCAGGAAGATAGGAAGAGACAGGCAGCCTGAACAGCGCAAGAAGTCTGCTTACATGGGGGAAGGAGGAGGTTTGGGAGAGGATTTGATTCGTTTAGAAGCTGGTTTAGAGGCTAACAGAACCTGTGCAGGGGAACAGGAAGTACAGAGAGAGGGTTTGGTGTGGAGATAGGAAAAAAATTGGGCATAGGGAAATTCCTTCCATTTACCACCATGCTCACAGAAATTATATAAATCCCTTAAAATATTGGGATTGAAAGTGCCATTAAGAGTGAGTGTCACTGCACAGCAATGGGGATGCCGGGAGGGAAGATCAACTGTCCGCGAACAGAGCTGAAGAAGAGGGTGTTGAACCAGGAGTGGCAACTGAAACACCAGGTAGTCAGGGCTGTGATAGACGAAGGGCTGATCATGCGGCACCACCTCAAGAACGTCCAGTGCACGTGCCAACATTACTCTGTCGGGGAAGAAGCACAGAAAACTTCTGCAGCAGATCCGACTTGCCCAGAAAGAAAAAGCAGCCATGGAAGTGGAAGCCCCCTCAAAGCCAGCCAGGACTAGTGAACCAAGGCCCAAATGACAAAAGAAGATAACACCCTCCCAGGATGTAGACATAGAGAACCTTGAAGATGAGAGCCAGCCAGGACTAGTGAACCAAGGCCCAAATGACAAAAGAAGATAACACCCCCCCAGAAGATTTTCAACTGGAGCCAGAAGGATTTGGTGGTTGCTTCAAAGGACTTTGGAGAAAGCATTGACCCCTTTCACTGTCCTCAGATCCCTACTGAGCTCCCCTAAAGGGATGTTAGAAGGGAAGAGGTTACAGAAGAAAGTTTGCAGAGGGGCCTCTCTAGCAGTCTACTCCATTTGTAATAAAGCTGTACAGTTTTGACCATAAAAAAAAAGTGCCATTAAGTGGCCAGTTGGAGACATTGTCTAATGGATATTGGGGCCATGCCTGATTACAGAGAAAAATGAGCTTCCATGGCTTAAAATCAGGTGTGAGGCATTGGGGCCCAAGATTGGCCAGAAGACATCCCAATGGGGAGTCTGAAGGAATTTTGGATGGTCCAACTCCCATGGTGAGGCCTGACCTGAGGAGAGATATGACAGGCATCCCTGAAATATGTCCTCAGGAGAGAGAGAGAAGTGCAGTACCCAGAGGGAATGTCTTCACCACAGGAGGTCCACAGTCCCTAGTGGGGAACCCAGTTCCAGAGATGGGAGCGAGCCAAGACCTAGCACTAGGATTTCAAGGAAATGAGAGATCACAGCTCTGCATGCAAGCAGGACTCACTGAGAGAGGACCTTGAGGGAAGATTGGCCAGTGGTGGATAGCAATTGAAGGCACACTGGGGCGGAGGAACTTCCCTGTGAACTGTGAGAGAGTGGTGTTTTCTAGGATAGGGGGTTCCGGCAAAGCAGCTCAGATCCCCGAGGAAGGGAATGGGAGTTGAGAGAGAGAGAGAGCAGGATAGCTTGGGGGAGGCCGGGAGAGCAAGGTCAGTGCCAGAAGTGCACCCTGATCTGAGTCACGGCACCAAAATGTTAGGAAAAACACTGCTCACAAAGAAAGCTCATGAGAAAAGTCTCACATCCAAGAGCAAAGTTTAATGGCAGGCTCAAACTGCCAGGCTGACCAGGCAAAGATGGCACAGCCCAGACTGGGCGAGGCATGGCTTTTATAGAAGGGGAGGTTAAGGAAGTTAGTGCATGCGTGGTAGTCTCTGTTAGGGGTGGGGCTGTCATAGTGCGGGAATTTCTGTTAAAGGCGGGGCTGTCCTTGGTAGTTTCTCAGGTGAGGTCTGAGGATAAAATGGCCACCGATTTACAAATGGCGACATTATTGTTCTATCAGATCTGGCAAGAAATTTTTGTTGAGAGTTCTGCCATTAACTAAGCCTTAAATAGATAAGTTATGTAGGATAGACAGTGTTTAAATTAAATCATTTTAAATTACTAAATGAGAAACACTATTGGATCCTATGACAAGAATGTAATTCTTATTTGATAAGTCCTTTCACTATTTTAATTTGTTTTGCTATTAACAAAAGTGCACTTTTCCCCTTAGTGGGTATATATAGCATTATAAAGCAATGACATCTTTGGGGATTTTTTTCAGCTGTTCTGTAAAAACAAGTATTTTGGCTTATACGTTTTTGTTTCATTAATCATCTTTGAATTAGTTTCTTCTTGAGGAAGGACATGTTTTACTCTTTTGTTCTTTATTATCTCATTATTTATTTGAAGCTTTTAAGAAAATATGTCCTTAAAAATCTTGATAATTAGAAGAAATAATCTCTTCAATAATAATTGAGTTGCATTTTATCCTGTTATAAGTTGAAACAAAGTTTTAAAATTGTACTTCAGTGTTTTAGAATTCAGTCTATTTTTTTGAGACAGGGTCTTGCTAGGTAGCCCAGGCTAGCCTCAAACTCATGATTCTCCTGCCTCAGCCTCCTGAGTGCTGGGATTGGGATTCAGTCTTGATAATGGAAAGAATACTGTCTTAACAAACACATTTTTCTTTTCCTTTAATCTTTTTTTTTATTATTGTACTGGGAGTACATTGTGACATTTACAGAACCATCTTCTCCTTTCAACAGGTCTCATTTTTCCATTTACATTCATGAACAAACACATTTTTTTTTTACTTCTGTCAACAATATCTGGAAGTGGCATAGTCAATTATGCTTCAGGTGCTTCCCACAACAAGCCTAGGAATCCTGAGATTCCTTCCCCAGCAGGAGTCTTGTGGCAGGCATGTGGAATTAGCATGAGGTACCCATCCACAACAAACAACCTGACCTGAAGTCTCTTTGACTCAGCAGGCCCACGGACTCATCTCCCCAGACCAGAGCAACCAAGGCAATAGAGGGGCACCAGTGGGGAGATTCTACCATACCCCTCCCCCTCGAAGGGACACCTGACAGCCTGACCTCCAACCCTCCTATCTCTGTCCCTAAGCCTGGCTACTATTAATCTATCTTCCATTTCTCAATTTTGACATTTCTGATGTTAAATAAATGGAATCTAACAAGATTATCTTTTTAGGATTAACTTTTTGTCCCTCAGCATAATTCTCTAGAAATCCCTTCAACATATTGTATATACTGAGTTCAAATCTTTCATTGCTACCTAGTATTTCATAGTATGAATGTGCTACGGTTCTTTAGCCATGTTTGAAAATATATCTGGGCTAGTTCCAATTTTGGACTATAACAAATGTTATATAGGCTTTGTATGGACCTGAGTTTATTTCTCTGGGATAAATATTCAAAGGGTAAAATGGCAGGGTTGTATGGGTGATGTGTGGTTTGTATTATAAGAAACTATCAAAGTATTTTCCAGAGTAATTGAGCCATTTTAAATTCCTGCTAGCAGTGTATGAGTAATCCACTCTGATTTCATCCTTGCCATCACTTGGTGGTGTCACTATTTTCGATTTTAGTCATTCTGATAGTGTGGGGATATCTCATTGAGGTTATAATTTGTGATGGTTAATGAACATCCTTTCCTGTTTATTCATGATCATATTTCCTCTGTGAAATATCTCATTGTGTCTTCATCAATTTTCAGACTGGATTGTTTGAGATTTTTTGTTTGTTTACTGTTTAGTTTTGAGAATTCTTTTAATATTCTGAATACTAGTATTTTATTGGATATATGGTTAGCAAATATTTTATATCCTCTTCATTCAGTTTCTCACAGAAAAAGTTCTTAATTTCGATGAAGACAAGAATACTTGTTTTTTCCTTTTATGGATATGCTTTTGGTGTCATATCTAAGAACTCTAGATCCCAATGACTTGTCTCTAACTTAAAAAAAAGTTACATAATTACACATTTTTAAATTCACAGTCCATTTTGAGTTTATTTATTTTGGGGGGATGCTTGGGATTGAGCCCTGGGCCCCTTGAGCTCCACCTCAGCTGAATTAATTTTTGTACATGCTTTGAGATTTAGGTCAAAGTTTTTTGTTTTTGTTTTTGCCTTTGAATGTTCAATTGTTCCAGCATCATTTGTTATAAAGGTTATCATTTTTCCTTTGATTTTCTTTTTCACCTTTGTCACAAGAGAACAAAGAGATAGAACACCATATATAGATATAGGATTTAAACTAACCGTATCAGTAATTTCATTATATGTAAATGGTCATAACAACTAAATTAAAAGATTGTATCAGAATACATAGAAAGCAAGAGCCCACTCTATGCTGTCGACAGGAAGCCAGTTTAAAATATATAGACACAAATATGTTAAAAGGATAAATGAAAAGATTAGAAGCCTGGACGAAATTAAGGATAACTAAGGCTAATTCTAGTATTTGTTGAGAAATGGGAGATTAGGTGGTTGATAACACAGTTAACCCAAAAGGATACTGAATGGATTATAGGTGATTTGTGATGAAAGTAATGACTTCATGTTAATGTTTGCACAGTTATGTTTGGGGTGTTTGTGACATACTCATGTGAATATCCATATGGTTATCTTTAGTATCCAATTGGAAATGTGGATCTGGAACTTGGAATAATGGTTTTAGTCAGAAATGTAGATTTAGAAGTAATGTAGATACATAGTGGCTCTACCAGCATGTATATATTGTCAGGAGGATCCAGAGGAATATCAGCATTAAAGGACCAGTGAAGTAAAGTGGAAAAGAATTATCAGAAAGGTCAAGGCCAAAACTTCTATTTTCTAGTCTAGTTTCCCTTTGTAAGGCAAAACAGTCTTAGAATTTGGCTTAGGATAGTACAAAAACATTTCCTGTAATGTAGGTCCAGTAATACTTCTTAAAATACCCAGAAAACAATAGCAGTTCCTGCCTGCTGCCTCCCCTATTGTTAATTTTTTACTAGCACTGGAACTTTTTATTTACTTGGATAATCAGAGTCTCTTTTAGGAGCATTGGGTCTCTGCATAACCTGATGTACTTTACTCCTGGGGAAAGAGCATGCTTACTTATATATGTGCTTAATTATGAAAGATCATTATTTGATGGGATTAGTTAATTTTACTGACAGAGTCTGGATTCCTTCACAGGATTAAGTAGCACAACACTGTGAAGTGTTATGCAGAGAACAATTAAGCTGACAGTTAGCTTGAGTAAATAAACAATGTCATGAGGCAGCTTGTCCTGAGTCCAAGAGAAAACTGTTTCCTGGATGGAGACAAAGCCCCAGAAAGAAACATGTATATTTTACTTTCAAAAGTTAACTATTCCATTAAATCTGTTCTTTATAGTGTTTTTTTAAAAAATCAATTGTTTTAATTATTGATCAAGGTATTGAGTATCTTAAAACAACAAAAGTTTATTATCTTATATACTCTGTGAAGGTCAGGAATCTGGGAGTGGCTTCACCATGTGTTTTGGGCTCAGGTTTTCTCATGCAACATCCTTAAGTTGTCAGCCAGCTCCACAGTCAGTTTAAGGCTTTCCTGGTGTTGGAGAATTGGCTTCAAAGTTCATTTGTGTGTTTCTTGGCAGGCCTTAGCTCTTCACTGGCTGATGGCCAGAGGCTTCATTTCTTTGCCATATGTACCTTTCCATAGAGCTGCTCATTATGTGACAGCTGCTTCCTCCCAGAGCAGAGATCCAAGAGAGAAAGAGTACCTAAGACGGAAACTACAGGCTTCTTGGTAAGCTAATCTCAGAAGTGACATGCCACCACTTGCCATATGCCTTGGTCATACGTACTAACCCTGGCACAGTTTAGGAGTGGTCTACACAAGAATGTAAATACCAGTGTCAGGGATCATTGGGGTGGTCCTGAAGGCTGACCACCACAGTTGTCATTCAGTGGCAATTAGAAAGCAAATCATTTCATCAGTTTTCTTCTTTGTGTTTTGCTGAATTTAACTTAACCCCCAATATGGCTATGTCATACATTAATATTCTAAAAATAGTTACTGAATGTTCATTATGTTTTGGGCATTGGGAGTTTATTTTAAGGATTCTAAAAGTCCTATCTGGACCTTGTTAGTCACCGGGTTGAAAAATTCTTCTGTGATTTTATCTTTTCCTGTTTCTTTCTATGCAGTCTCTGTTTTAGCTTTATTGAACTAATAATTTCCTTCTTAAGGGTTTATGTACCAGGTACCATTCTAAGCACTTTACTTTGTCAAAATAGCCCTGTTACAGCTCAAATGTGATTTGTTCCCCAAGGGTTCATGTGTTAAAATCTTGGCTCTCAGTATGGCAATATCAAGAGATGGTAGAACCTAGTG